TAAAATCCTATTAACATTTTTGTGTAAATTAGAGAAAATCAAACTTGTGATCCTCCTTCAAAAGATGCTGTTGGGATAGAGACAATAGAAGATCCACTGTCAGATGAGGCTGTTGATGTTAAAATAGTTTATGACGTCACTCTTGTTCGAACGTTTGATGTATGTATTTTAGTACCTCGTGTTCATGTTCTTATTCTGTTGTCGATTCAGTGATTTTGTCACGATATTTTACCTAATAAATATATTCATATTCCTCGCAATAACGTGAATCCACTAAATTCATCAGGTTATGGGCCCAGTGGGCTGAGGTATGAAGAACTCTAGGAGTATTGTGTTGTGATAAATTTGACCGTAAAAGCGTGTATTTTTTAACTTAAACTGTTACTGTGGTATGATCGTGGCGTAACAAATATGGCGGAATCAAAAACTGTGACGGTCGTTCCGTTGAATGGGTCGAATTATGGGACTTGGAAAGTCCAATGTCGTATGGCTCTCGTGAAAGACGGGCTGTGGAGCATTGTTTCTGGAACTGAGACAGCTCCTGCTTCATCAGAAGCTGATGCATTGGCGAAGTTTAATGGCCGAAGAGATAAAGCACTGGCGATTATTGTGCTTTCGGTTGATCCTTCGCTTTTATATTTGCTCGGAGATCCTGAAGACCCTGTAGCTGTATGGAAGAAATTGTCTGACCAATTTCAAAAGAAATCGTGGGCTAACAAACTGTCTTTGAGACGGCGTTTAAACAATTTAAGGCTGAAAGACGGTAGTCCAATGTCCGGTCATATAAAATCGATGACGGAAATTTTTAACGAGTTAGCAGTGATTGGCGCACCAATGGAAGATGAGGACAAAGTTGTGACATTGTTAGCAAGTCTTCCTGAATCGTATAATATGCTTGTAACAGCCCTAGAAGCAAGCACCGAAGTTCCAATAATGGAAATTGTAACTGAACGTTTACTTTATGAAGAAAAGAAATTAGGCGAACGAGAAAAGTCACCGAAAAGCTCGCGTAGACAACTGATGATTGCCGAGGGCCAGGGCCTAAAGACTGATAAAAAGTCTATTAAGTGCCATCACTGTGGGAAACTAGGGCACATAAGGCGTTTCTGCAAAGAATTGACTAAAGAAAAAAAATGGGAAAGGTGGAAAAGACTCAAAGCAACGCTGGAACAAAGGAAACCAAGCTGAACAATCAAATTCTGGTAAGGAAAGTTTAGGATTTGTTATGCAAAGTTTAGCTGCCAGTGCATGTGGAATTAATAGTGAATCATGGATTGTTGACTCTGGTGCAACATGCCACATGTGCAACAACTTGGGTCTGCTTGAAGAGTTTGTGGAATTTGAGGAACCTGTGGATGTTATGCTCGGAGATGGTAAGATCTTAAAAGCATTTGGAAGTGGAGTTGTAACAGTGAACTGTAACCTTGCAAATGGTAGTCAGCAAGAATGCAAACTCTACAATGTACTTCTGGTTCCAAAACTTAGCTATAATCTACTAAGTGTATCAAAAGTAACTGAAGCTGGAAAATCAGTTAGCTTTGAGGAAGCCAAATGCAACATTTCTTGTAGCAATGAAAAGGTTATTGCTAGTGCCAAAAAGGTTGGATCTTTGTATTATTTGGATTTTCAACCTATTTTGCAATGTTCAAATGCTGTTGTGAAAAGAAACTGAACTCTCAAATGAAATGTTATGGCATCACGCTATGGACACTTTAGGAGCCCCAAGTTTAAAGAAATTGTCCAATGACAAATTAGTAGACGGTTTTAACTTTGACGCAAAGAACGATTTAGAATTCTGTGATGTATGTACCCAAGGAAAATTGCATCGTTGTACATTTCCAAATTCTGGTGCAAAGCGAGCGAAAGAGCCACTTGGTATTGTGCACAGTGATGTCTGTGGTAAGATAAATACCAAATCCTGTGGTGGTGCTGAATACTTTCTAACCTTCACCGATGATAAAACCCGTTATGTGTGGGTGTATCCACTGAAGCAAAAGAGCGAAGTTTTCACTCGTTTCTTGGAATGGAAAGCAGTTGCAGAAAAATCGAGTGGCTATAAGTTGAAAACTCTCAGAACTGACAATGGTGGTGAATTCACTTCAACTGAATTTGAGAACTACCTGAAATCAGAAGGAGTAAAACATGAGTTAACGATACCAAAAACCCCAGAGCAAAATGGTGTTGCTGAGCGTCTCAACAGAACACTTGTTGAAGCTGTCCGAGCTATGCTGATTCAAGCTGAACTGGCTCAGAGGTTTTGGGTTGAAGCTCTTGCAACAGCCGTGTATTTACATAACCGAAGTCCAACAAAAGGAGTGGTCAAAATGACTCCATTCGAAGCCTGGACTGGAGTGAAACCAGACGTCAAACACCTACGAATCTTTGGATGCACTGTGTATGCACACATTCCAAAAGATGAGAGGAAGAAGCTTGATCCAAAAGCAAAGAAATGTGTATTTCTTGGGTATGGAACAGAAACCAAGGTATATTGCTTGTATGATCCTGTGAGTTCAAGAGTTATTTATAGTCGTGATGTAAAATTCAATGAAAGAGAATTTGGCAGTAATAAAGAGCTTCAAGAGAATGAAACTTGTGATGAACTTGTAATTCTTGAACTGTCAGATGACAATAATATTGAGGATGATCAAGCAGCTGATATTGAGATTAACCAACGCCATCCAACACGAGAAAGGCGTCCACCTGATCGTTTTGGTGAATGGGTAACTATTGCTAATGAAGATGAATGTTGAGCCTACGACAGTTATTGAAGCATTACATGGTCCACATGCAGAACAGTGGCGAAAAGCTATGCAACAAGAGATTAATTCACTTCAAGAGCATGATGTGTATGAGCTCATAGAACTGCCTAAAGGACGGAGAGCAGTTGGATGCAAGTGGGTATACAAATTGAAACGTAATGCTGATGGTTCAATTGAGAGATATAAAGCAAGACTTGTTGCCCAAGGTTTTTCTCAGAGATATATGGAGTAGACTACGACGAGACATTCTCCCCAGTTGTGCGTTTCGAATCGATACGGACAGTCATTGCATTATCTGTTCAGAAAGGTTTGAAGCTGCACCAAATGGATGTAACGGCTGCCTTCCTGAATGGAGAATTAGAAGATGAAGTATATATGAAACAACCGGAAGGGTTTGAAGTTAAACGGAAAGAGCACTTAGTCTGTAAGCTCAACAAAAGCTTATATGGTCTAAAGCAATCATCCAGATGCTGGAATTCGGTATTGGATGAACATTTAAAATCAATTGGTTTTATCCAAACAGAAAGTGATCCTTGTATTTACGTGAAAGAAGAGGACGGTGATACTTTCATTGTTGCGATTCACGTGGATGACATCATTCTTGCTGGTAAAACTGATGAAAAGATCGCTAAAGTCAAAGAAAGCATTGCGAAAAGATTTCAAGTGAAAGACATGGGAAAACTTAATTATATTCTTGGTCTACAAGTAGTTCAAGAGAACGGTAAAGTGTGGATTGGCCAGCCTAGCTACACGGAGAGTATTTTAAAGAAATTCGGAATGGAGAACTGTAAATCTGTCGAGACTCCTGTTGATATGGGTTCAAAGCTTGTCAAAGCAACGAAAGATGGTGAACTGTGTAGCAAAGAAGAATATCAGTCAGCAGTTGGTAGTTTGTTATACTTGTCATCTGCAACGCGACCTGATATAACATTTGCGGTTAACAATGTCGCAAAATTCACCGCGAACCCAACAAAAGAGCATTGGATGGCCGTGAAGCGTATTTTCCGGTATTTGTCAGGAACGGTGAATTATGGACTACATTACTCAGAACATGCTAGTCGAGATTGTGTCGGTTTTTCGGACGCGGATTGGGCAGGCGATTTAAACGACCGAAAGTCAACTTCTGGTTATACATTCCAGATGAGCGGAGCTTCTATTAGTTGGAGAAGCAAGAAGCAAACATGCGTAGCTTTGTCAACGGCTGAAGCCGAATACATTGCATTGTCTGCTACTACTCAAGAAGCATTGTGGATAAGACAATTGTTGGACAATCTTGGCATAGATGTTAAGAACCCATTAACCATTTATGAGGACAATCAATCAGCTATTGCCATGTCCAAGAACCCACAATTCCATGGGCGATCCAAACACATAGACATAAAATATCATTTTATACGAGACCAAGTAGAGAAGAAAACAATTACTGTTCTCTACTGTCCAACAAACAGCATGCTATCCGATTTATTTACTAAGGGTATTCCAAAGGAACAATTTAAGAAACTGCGTAAACTAACAGGCGTTACAGTTAAACCTAATTAAAAGGAAAAACATTCGAACTGCGATTGAGAAGGAGTGTTAAAATAGTTTATGACGTCACTCTTGTTCGAACGTTTGATGTATGTATTTTAGTACCTCGTGTTCATGTTCTAGCTTATTCTGTTGTCGATTCAGTGATTTTGTCACGATATTTTACCTTATAAATATATTCATATTCCTCGCAATAATGTGAATCCACTAAATTCATCAGTTGAGATAGAGACAACAGAACATCCGCTGTCGAATGAGACTGATGAGATAGGAGCAAATGAATTTACTGAACAACGTGAACAAGGGCAAGATTGCATATCTGAATGTTGCAAACATGATCTCCCAAATCCTTACCATCCAAATATTGACTTCCATTCAACCAGCAAGAGACAAGGACAGCAAACTCGGTTATTTTCTTCCAACTGGTTCAAGGAATATAACTGGTTAACGTTTTGCACTTCAAGGAATAGTGTGTTTTGCTTCTATTGCCGAAAAGCATATCCATCGGTATTTAATAAGAAAGCCGAACCCGCATTTACTGATAAGGGTTTCAGTAACTGGAAGAGGGCAAAACAAAAATTTCGTGAGCATGAGTGTAGCTAATCTCATAAACACGCTTTACTTTCTTATCAGACAAGGCAATCATCAGTAAAAGGCTCGGTAGCTTGTCTGCTTTCCAATCAAGTACGCAAAGATCAAGCTAAGCACCGAAATATGCTCATGAAGTTATTATCGTTCCATAAATTGTTTCTGCGACAGGGTGTTGCCATTCGCGGACACACTGAAGAGGAAGGAAACCTTTACCAGGATCTTAAATGCAGGTGTGAAGGTGTGCCTGGTCTTGAAGCATGGTTAAGAAAGGGAGAGTACAGATCACATGACATAATCAACGAATTGATCGAATTGATGTGTATGAAAGTCTTGAGAGAACTACTTGCGGAAATTCGGGATGCTGAATGCTACTCAATTATTGCTGATGAAACCCGAGACCTAAGCGGTGCTGAGCAGTTTTCAGTTTCCATACGTTGGGTAGACTCGGAGTACAACATTTCGGAAGATCTGATTGGAATGGTTGAAGTAGAGAACACAACTGCAGAAGTCCTAACATCGGTAATTAAGGACACTTTGTTACGTTGTGTTCTTCCGCTTTCTCAGTGTCGTGGACAAGCATACGATGGGGCTGCCAATATGGCAGGGTGCATTAGCGGTGTTGCAAAGCGCCTTCAGGAGGACGAGCCGTCTGCACTCTTTGTTCATTGCTTGGCACATAATCTCAATTTGTGTCTGCAGGATTGCGGGCGTCAGTGCGATGCAGTGAAAGAAGCTCTCAATCTGACTTCGGGCGTGGCTACTATAATACGTGCATCGCCAAAGCGTTTTGCAATTTTTAGACACTTACAAGAAGAATTTAACATGGATGCTTCGGGATTGAAACCACTATGTCCAACCCGCTGGACTGTGCGAACAGGTGCGATCAACGCCATCTTGAAGAACTATGAAATCATCTGTAATGAACTGGAACAAGTAAGTAAGGATTCTGGACCTTCAGCTTCAAATGCATCTGGATATGTTGCTTTAATGGAAAGGTTTCAAACTTTCTTTGGGCTACGCCTGTCATACTTGGTGTTCAGTGCTACTGAGCAACTCTCCAGAACATTACAGGGGCATGACCTTAATGCTCAGGATGCTGCGATGGCTGTCTCTCAAGCAGTATCGTTCCTTACAAGGCAACGCTCAGACGCAGCATTTTCTGAATTCTTTCAAGCGACCGTTAGCAAGTCAAAGAATCTAACCGAGCCGCCCAAACTTCGCAGGCCTAAATCTATACCTAAACGTCTTGACGACGGTTCTGCCAATCACACATTTACGTCTCCAGAAAGTTTTTTTCGTCATCAGTATTTCGAAGTATTGGATCTGGTGATAAATGAGATGAGGCGCAGATTCAACCAACCTTCTTTTGCAATTTTGAAAGAAATTGAGAGTTTACTATTGAAGTCTTGTAGTGGTGTCACAACCCAACCATCTGAAAGTTTGTCAGCATTATATGCAAAAGACCTCGACCTTGACAGATTGAAGGTTCAGCTGTGCATGCTTCCAGACTTAGTGCGACTGCGAATGTAAAACACCAATTGGGTGTGAAAAAGGTAACTTCCATAGGTACCATCGTGCAACTCTTCAATACCTGTCCCTACAGTAAAACCATGCTGCAACAAGTCGACAGGCTTCTTCGAATTTTTCTAACAGTTCCTATGGCCAGTGCTACCGCTCAGAGAAGCTTTTCTGCTTTACGAAGGCTCAAGAACTATTCACGAACCACCATGAGCCAGAAACGACTGAACCACCTTATTTTGATGCATATTCAAAAAGACAGAACTGATCAACTGGTCGAACTGGAACTAACAAGTATTGCACAACAGTTCGTATCTGTGAATGAGCGACGAATCAACTACTTTGGTTCTTGGGACTGTTAAGAAGGGAACTATTCTGCAACTACTTGAACCATTTTTCAATCTACACTACTAACAATATTTGTATTGTTTTTGTTTACTCACTATGGTTGACTATTGTATTTGCATAGAGTTTTGAGAGTCTAAAAATTTTCAAAAATGTGTTCGCAGAAAGTTCTAAATGTTACTTCAGAAGACCAAATTTCAACATTTTCCTGGGGAGCATGTCTCATTGTTCCCGAAGTCCGGATTCTGTCCTCGCGTCTAAGCCCCCCCCCCCAAAAAATGTACATCTTCCGCCGCCTATGATTCACAGACACTTATTTCTAAACTTTTTGTGCAATATCGAATGGTTTTCACGCATTCTCCTCATCTATAAGATAAGCAATTCCTGAACAGCAATTGTTGCTTGCTAGTGCGTTTACAATTAGTTGAGCCGAACGATTGGTATCGGCACGTTTATTTGAAAAGAAAAGCAACTGAAGGCACAGAGTCCACAGACCTTAAAACCGCTATATCAGATATTAGAAAACGAAAATGTGTTCACTAAACGGGATTGGTACGCAATGAACACTGACTGACCATGCAATAGTAATAATGTGCCGCCCTTGTCAACGGCAGAAGTGTAATAAACCATACGCTCTTCTTCGGACTTCTACGATATTTGATAGTACCTAGGAAATCCACGCCGATTATCGTGAAAGGTATTATTATCATCTTAAGTCTATTCATGTGCAAAAATTCAGCAGGCGGGCTTGGAATGGTTACAACAGGAAATCTCTTACATCCATTACGTTTTTTAGGGATCGCTTTGCCAGCATACGAAAGCAAAGATTGCCGAGGAATCCAAAATTCTTCACGAACTTTCGCGTTCACAAACTTTCCGCTCTTGGGCTCTGCGGACCGAAAATAATTCTTGATATATAATCTCCTGTATAGTTAATACTCTCTGGATCTTGTCGGAAGGATTTCGAGGATTGTGCTTGAATCTCAAGGCTCAATCACCAATCTTCCTTGTTTTACTCAAGCCGAACTCTTCGAGAATTATCGAGGCCATTATTTCCCTTTTTCTCGGTATCAATTGTTGCTTTTGTACATGTCACGATCTGAGGTGGACATTCACCTGGATCAGCCAACCAGACTAGACGTTTCCACCACAACGCTGCTGACGTGAGACTGACGCCACGACTACCCAAGTCTGCAGGGTTATCAGTTTGTAATACTTTCGGATGGCTTAAAATTTTGTTAACACGCGGTTTGCAATGAATTGTCGGTATTCGCCACAGTTGTTAAACCATTGGACGGCTACTGTGCTCTCTAAAATACATGAAAACGTCACATTTTAAAGTTTATCGATATCAGGGAAGTTTTCTGTATCCTCAGCATTATTCCAAGGAAGGCCAGGAAGTTCACTCTCCCCTTTCCAAGGTTAACCAAGCTGCTGATCTTGATTTCCAAATGAATGTTAACGGTCATTAGGATTTGTGTCCAGCTCCTCTTCTCCGTTCCGATTCGATTTGTGAATGAAGAACAAAATGAGAATCATTTAAGGACATCGATATGAACGGCATTTCCTCGGATTCGCAGTTACGAATTTTGAGAAATGTGTGGTGCCAATCCTCCAAACGGGCAACTGGTCATCTTCATAAATTTGAATTAAACAACAATTATTAACGAGTTTGTTTAATAACTGCATGAGGTAAAGAGCTTCCTGAACGGTCGCTGCAAGAGGATTATACCTACAATCTTGGACAAAAATGTTGTAACACCCCACCCCCAAAATCACTGTTGTAAGGAGATTTCACGTAGCAACAATTAATTTGGGGGGAGGGGATTGGTGTTACAACAACTTTTGTCCAAGATCAATCTTATACAAAAATGTTGTAACACCCCACCAAGGGATTTTGATAAACAAGGAAACGACGTCAAACGATACGAGCACTTGGTCTGTGTCTAGAGTTTCACCTTTAATAAATTCCGCGAAATGAGTAGACTTTTTTATTATGTGTAGAGACTATTCCCAACAGTAGGAGACAATATTCTAGCCAAATACCTCGAAAGAGTATAAGTAGGAGAATTGAGAAAAGACACGATAGGTATCAAAGGGATTCCCGACTTATGAATCTTCGGAAAGCCATAGAATCGCGGAGATAATCGATCGCTACTACGCAACAATTTATAAGTGACCTCGCTAATTTTGTTAGCTTTTTTAAAGAGTGATAGGCGTTTGTTCAATTCTCTTTCAGTCTTAAAAGTTGGGTCAGACTTAAGGACACTACAGGTGTTTTTGTCATTGAGCAATGCACGCGCTTTCTCGCGATAGTTTTCCGTAGTCTGTCCATTACAACAACACAATTGCCTTTATCTGCAGAGAATACAACACTGTCCGGATCTTTCTTCAAAGATGAACACTTTACTGTAAATATTTTTGGGGGAGCCTTAGCACGTCTGAGGATGCTACTGACTTCAGCTCTTACCGTTAGCTTAGTTTCGTCGTTAAGGTGAAAAGTTCCTTCTTCAACCGAAGCGACAATTTCAGCTATTGGAATTCGCCTTGATGAAATAGCAAACTTAAGACCATGCTCTAGTCCTTTCCTTTCAATCTCCCTTAGCTCCTAGTAGAGAGGTTTATTACCCATCTCTGTATAGAATGGTAACAATCATCTATACGTAATCTCAGGAAGGAAAAACCTTTCAGACACTGGGACATATTTTCGCGAAACCCAAGGATCGCGTAGCGACTAAACTGAAAACTGATGCGTACTACCTATAACATGTGGTGATGCGAGAAAGAATATCTAGGTGAAACAAAACGTCTGTTTGGCAAACGTTTAAAAGAAAATAAAAAGGCCTTTCGAACTTTGAAAGTTCAAAATCAGCCTTAGAGGAACACGTGTCTCAAACTAACCATAACGTGGAACGATTCAAAAGTCATTACCACTAATGATCGTTATGGACAAAAGCGTTGTTTGGAAGCCTGGCATATTAATGCGAGTCCTTGTGTCCTATATAGGGATGACGGAAGCTATTTGCAAAAAAAATATTTACATTTAATTCATAGATGACGTCATCTTGAGAGCATATAAGAAACCGAGTTTCAACATCAGATCACCCCGGAGTGTCGAAACGTAGGGTCGTGAAAGTTAATCTTTGTGATTACTTTCATTTAAAAACCAGAGAAACGATAATTACGATGAATCAAAGTGTTTAAAAAATGCAGATTCCATGCCCAAATATAAATTTGGTTATAAATATTGTCAGTGTACTGATAATCAGGAAAGCTTATTAACTTATAGCTTATTAATTAATTTAACAGATCCGACTGATGTATGAAATTATATCATGTAGATTTGTATAACTTCTTCTAAAAATCTAGCAACATTTTCTTCGCTATGCCTAAATGAATGTCAACTAGTGCTTTTATATAAAAAAATCGTAAATTTATGCCTCTTGTTATATATGCGCATAGCGGACTTCACTTTCACTTAAACTTTGTATATTACATACCACAATATAATTATTTTGCTTGTATACTCTATACATTTATGGTCGCATATGCATGCTAGTATATATGTAGAAATATATGCTAAATCAATGCATGTTTATGAAATCTAAGGCTACCGACCTGGTTATATATTAAACAAACTTACCCGTTAAGGAGCTAAGATTCAAGGCATAGCTTTTGTTGTTCGCTTTCGGTTTGATCTTTGCTTTCCTCCTATTTCTACCGACGGTCTGATACTTTGATGAATGTATATTTATCCTTATATCAGTTCAGGTTCTTTATCCAATGCTACTTGCCAACCCGTACGTGAACTGCATCAACGGCCACTTGATATGAATACATCAACTGAACTCCCTGGGTAGAGCTACTGCGCACGAGTCGCTTCCTTCTGAGCTTTGATTCTCGGAGAATTTTGAGTACAAGTTATGTCGTAAAGAAAGTAAAATAGTTTCACCGGAAACATAATTATATCGTCTTCGGAAGTGCTCAAGAGTTTCGATAAGTGCAAACTCATGCATTTTCAATATTAAGATGTTTTCGTATTTCGCAGACCTGCATGCATGTCTATTATTTTATTCAAATCGTGCCTTCATGTAATCGATAGCGCCGGAAATGGTACTTGTCACTTGCCAAGAGTGTAAAATAATAAACTTTGAAGTAGTTCACATGAGACGGCACTGGTTACACGAGATTTGACAAAGCCTGAGATGATTTTGTGGTATTATAAGAAGTTCTCTTTAAACCAAACAAGAACATGCTATATTGCTAGGATTACTACACGTTTACCAGGATCATGTTATTTATTCATTTCAATACCCCAAAGGCCAAGCCCATTTTACAGATCCATGCAAATAACATCATTTTACACTCTTTGGCAAGTGACAATTACCATATGTCCTGACATGTGTGAGAAATGATAGCAACGTCAGGTTGCTTTATTATGATTTATACGTATCCTGTTTTGACTACGCTTAAAGTGTTCTGCATCCAAAATAAAAATATTCTGGTTTCCAAAACTATATATATAGGCTTATTACATTGTGCAGCATGTTGGTAAACTGGTAATTTAAACGCTTATGTAATGTTATTTTCCTGGAAGAGCACTTGCAGAACCTGCATGAAATACTCAACCATTGAAATTGACACTAATCATGATTTATTTATTAATT